TCTGTGTCCTGGAGGTGTCTGGAACAGGGGGGTATTGGGGGGGTTTTAGGGAGTTTGGGGGGAGTTTAGGGGCGGTTTGGAGGCTCCAGGGGGGTGGGTTTGGGGGCTTTTGGGGGGCTTTTTGGGGGCTCTGGGAGGCTTTTAGGGAACTTTGGTGGCGGGTAGTTTTATGACACGACCCCCTCCCGTCCCTCCCCCCAGCGCGCACTGGGCCCTCTCGTGTTCCTCCTTTTTGGGGGGGTCCTGGGGGGCTTCGCGCTCTTCACCTTCCTGCTGCTGCCGGAGACCCGCGGCCGCCCCTTCCCTGGGGGTGGGGGCGGGACCCCCCTGCCTGGCCCCCCTGCTCTGCTCAACCCTCCTGAGAAGGACACGGAGCTGCAGTGCCTCGCCCTGCCCGACGACCCCTGAGCCGCGGCCCCCCCCCCCCCCCCCCCAAAAAAACCCGGATGGCCCCCCCCCAAACTTGGGGGAAAAAAAAAACCCTTCCCCACCACCCCCCGGAGTCCATTTAGGGGTGGATCTCCTCCCGGGTTTAGGGGGGGTTGCACCCCGATTTTGGGGGGTTTCATCCCCATTTCAGGGGTCTCCCCCTGATTTTAGGGGTCTTCACCTCCATTTTGGGTGGATCCCCCCCAGTTTTGGGGATCTCACACTGATTTTGTGGGTCTTCACCCTCATTTTAGGTTGATCTACTCCCGATTTTGGGGGGGTTTCAAAACAATTTTGGGTGGATCCTCCCCAATTTTGGGGGTCTCAGACTGATTTAGGGGGTCTTCAACATCATTTTTGGTGGATCTCCCTGATTTTGGGGGTCTTGACCCTGATTTTGGGGGTCTCAGACTGGTTTTGGGGGTCTCACACTGATTTTGGGTGGATCCCCCGATTTTGGGAGTCTCACATTGGTTTTCAGTTGATTTCCACTGAATTTGGGGGTCTCAACCCTGATTTTGGGGGGGGTTCAGCCTGATTTTGGGGTGTTTCCCCCAATTTTGGGGGTTCCTTCATGATTCTGGGGGTCTCCACCCCCATTTTGAGTGGATCCCCCCCTGATTTTGGGGATCTCCACCTGTTTTGTGATTCTCCACCCTGATTTGGGGGGTCTCCCCTCGATTTTGGGTGTTCCCCCCCTCAGTGTTTTTTAGGGGGTCACTGAGGGGTTTGGGGACCCCCCTGAGTGGAGGAGGGGGGAGGGCTTTTGGGACCCCCAAACTGTAAATAAAAAATGAGGACAAACTTGAGCCCGACCGACCTTTAATTTGGGGGGCGGGGGGGTCCCCAAACCACGAGGATGTCCCCAAAAATCGGGGGACCCCCATATTGGGAGGCCCAAAATCAAAAGAGGGGGTCCACAAAATTACTCTTCGTGTCACCTAGCGGGGAGGGGGAAGCACTAAGGGGGATTTGGGGGACACCTCCCTCCAAAATCTGGGGGAAGGTTTGGGGGACCCCCCCTCAAAAAAAACTGCGGTGTTGGGGGTCTCCAAGGGGGTCCTGGGGGGCCCGAGGGGGTTTTGGGGCCCTCGAGACGGTGGGGGCTGAGGCCACGCGCCTTCGGGCAAATCCACGCCCCCCGCCCAGCCCCACGTGGCCCCGCCCCCTCTCGTTCGCCATTGGCCGCTCCGCGCCGGGGCGGGCGCTGATTGAGGGAGCCCCTCGTGGCGCGCACGTGAGCGGGAGCGGGGCGCGCCACGTGAGCGCCCGGCGCGGGAGGCGCATGCGCGGTGACCCAGCTCCTCCCCCTTCCCCCGCGCAGTCACAGTCTTGGGTGTTTCTGCATAAATTTGCCCAAAACGAGACCCCCGGAAGGGGGATGAGCGTCATCAAGCCGATCTGCCTAATAAGGCGTTGTCGTGGAAAGCAACCCTTCCCCAAAAGGCTCGGAGGGGGAGTTCCCCCCCGTCACGTTCCGCGTGCTGCAAATCTCGCGAGACTTCTCCGCGCGGGCGTGGCGCTCCGTGCAGGAGTGCTCCGAACTCTCGCGAGACTTCACCACATCACCGCCTTGCTCAGCCCTCCAAACCTCGCGAGACTTCGCATTGGCTTTTACACAGGAGCGCCTTTAAATCTCGCGAGATCGCGCGGGCACCTCAGCGCTCGGGCCCTTCAATCTCGCGAGATTTAACCCCCCCCCTCCGGGGAGGCTCAAACCGCACCCCCTCCAGGGTGGAGGGGGCACGGCGCGCAGGCGCACTCCCCTCGCCACTGCGCCCCTCCCCTCCCTGCGCCTGCGCCCGGCCGAGTAGGGAGCAGGCCCCGCCCGTGCCGGGGCGGCGGCGCATGCGCAGCGCGGCGCGGGGGGTGCGGCAGCTCGGGTTCGGCGGCGGTTCGGGGCGCGGGGATCGCGGCGGTGAGTCCGGGACACCCCCGGGGGGCGCAGGGGGCGAGCCCGAGGAGCAGAAGGAGCGGCGGGAGGGGTCCCGGGGCGGGCGCAGAGGAGGGGGGAGGGCAAGCGGAGCGAGAGGCCTCCACACCCCGCCCAGCGCTAGGCCGCGGGCGCGGCCCGGGCCGCGTGGCCCCGGGGGGGAAGAAGGGAAGGGAAGGGGGGGACCCCCCGAATTAGAAAGCGGGCAAAGGGCTTGGTAAGGGATAGAGAGAGCCCTTCCTGCTCTGCGTGTGTGTTTCTCCCTTCTCGGTATAAGGAGAAGGGAGGAACCCCCTTAATGGAGGGGAAATGGGGAAATTAAAAGGATTACGGGGGACCCCCTAATGGAGGGGAAGGGGCGGGGGGAGTATAAGGATTAGGGGGGAACTCCCCCAATATAAGGGATAGGGGACACCCCCAAATAAAGGAATAGGGCGCCCCCCCCCCCGATATGGAATAGGGGATCCCACCGATATAAGGGGTAGGGGAGACCCCCCCCCCCGTATAAGGGAGGGAGGTCCCCTATATAAGGAACTTGGGGGGGGGGTACTCTCCAAATAAGGGAAAACGGATCTCTGCAATAAAAGGAGATATTTTATAAATCGGAGTAAACGGGAATGCCCCCATAAGAATTAGGGGAGACCTCCCCCCAGAAAGGGAATAAGGGGGACCCCCCCAAAGTCTTTATGAAAGGAAGAGGGGTCCCCTAAATAAGAAATTAAAGGGCAGCCCTCCCCTCATGTAAGGAATGTGGGGATCCCCCCTCCCCCCGTTCCATCTGGGACCCCACCCCAGATAAGGAATTGGAGGACCACCCCCCCATAAGGAATGGGGGCACCCCCTCGTAACCAATACGGGGGACCCCCCCCAGTATAAAGATAGTGGGTCCCCCATAAAAGGAATAGGGGGGGATCCCCTCTGAGAAGGGGTGGGGGCTCCCCTATAAATAAGGAATAGGGGGGAAACCCCCCAATTCTCCATATAAGGAAGGGGGAGACCCCTCCCCATTAAAGGAAGGGGGCTCCCTCTATAAGGAATAGGGGAAGCCCCCCATAGGGGGAAGGGGGATCCCCTCCCCTCTAAGGAATTAAGGGGGAACCCCCCAATTTTGTATATAAGGAATGGGGGGGCGCCTCCCCATAAATAGGGAATGGGGGACCACCCCCATATGGGGAAAGGAGGGGGGACCCCCAACTCACCAGATAAAGATTTGGGGACCCCCCACCCCCCTCCAGGATTCCATATCCCCCTGACACCTCCCACTTTGGGGGTTTCCTGTTCCCATTTTGTGGTCCCCCTCACCCTCCTCAACACCTCCCACGTTTTGGGGTCCCCCAAACCACCCTTTTTTTGGGTGGTTTTTCAGCCTTGGTGAAGTCTCTTTCCCAGTGTCCCCAAACCCCTTTCAGGGCTTCCTCCTCCCCCGACCCCCTTTTTTGGGGCTCCCTGTTCCCACTTGGGGTTCCCCTCACCCCCCTCAACACTTCCATGTTTTGGGGTCCCCCATACACCCCATTTTTGGGTTTTTCAGCCCCTTTTTGGGCTTTTCTGCCCCAATGATGTCCCTTTCCCAGTGTCCCCAAACCCCTTTTAGAGCTTCCTCCTGAGCCCCCGTTTTCGGAGTTCCCTATTCCCATTTTGGGGTCCCCTGACTCTCCCCGATGCTCCCCTTTTTTGGGATGCTGCCTGACCCCCATTTTTGGAGATTTTTCCCCTCAGAGAGTCGAGGGACGACGGCGTGGACGTGGAGCCGGGTGACCCAGGGAGCCTTGGCCATGTTCCCCATCACCCCTTTTGGGGTTCTGCAGCCCCAGGGGTGCCCCCCCCCCAATAACTCCCTAATTTAGGGGTTCCTGACCCTCTAACCCCCATTTTTGGGGATTTTTTTTCCTCAGACAGTCAAGGGCCAACAACCAGCCCTTGGAGCCGGGGACTTGTGGGGGCCACGTTCCCCATCACCCCTTTTGGGGTCTCCCCACCCCGATAACTTCCCCATTAAGGGGTTCCTGACCCCCTTTGTTTTGGGGTTCCCCCCCCCCCCCAGAGAGGCGATGGCCGACGACCTGGACTTCGAGACGGGGGACGCGGGGGCCTCGGCCACGTTCCCCATGCAGTGCTCGGCCCTGCGCAAGAACGGCTTCGTGGTGCTCAAGGGCCGCCCCTGCAAGATCGTGGAGATGAGCACCTCCAAAACGGGCAAGCACGGCCATGCCAAGGTACCCACGGACCCCAGAATGTCCCAAACGTGCCCCAGAATATCCCAAATCCACCCCAAAATATCCCCTGAGCAACCGCGGCCCCGCAGAGACACCCACAGAGACACCCACGGCCCATCCCAGAGCCCCTCACACAGCCCTGATACCTCCCAGACAGCACCAAAAGGGGCATACACGGCCATGCCAAGGTACCCAGAGACCCCAGAATGTCCTGAAAATGTCCCAAATGTATCGCAAAATATCCCCTGAGCCACCATGGCCCCGCAGAGACACACACAGCCCATCCCAGAGCCTGCCCTGGGCTCTGAGCCCACCCCAGACAGCCCCAGAACGGGCAAACACAGCCGTGCCAATGTACCCAGAGACCCTTAAATATCCTAAAATAGCCCAAATGTGCCCCAAAATATCCTAAATGTGGCTCAGAATAATCCCCTGAGCAACCACGGCCCCAGAATGTCCCAGAAGTGCCCCCAAATACCCCAGAATGTCCCAGCTCTGCCCCCAGATGTGCCCCGGAATATCCCAGTGCTCCCAGTAAAACCCTCCCAGTGCCCTCCCAGTACTCCCATTAACCCCAGTACAGGCCCCCCCCAGGACTCCCAAGACACCCCCCCCCCAGCCCTCCCAGTGCTCCCAGTAAACCAAGTACAGCCTTCCCAGTGCTCCCCAGTAAGCCCAGTTTCCTCCCTCCCCAGGTTCACCTCGTGGGCATCGACATCTTCACGGGCAAGAAATACGAGGACATTTGTCCTTCCACCCACAACATGGACGTGCCCAACATCAAACGCAACGACTTCCAGGTGAGGGACCCCCCCGGGGAGGGGGAGACACCCCCAGGTGAGGGTGGGACCCCGAGGTAAACATGGTCTCACCTGTCCCCCCATGCAGCTGATCGGGATCCAGGACGGGTACCTGGGGGTTCTTTGGGGTTCCCTGGGGGTTCTTTGAGGTTCCCTGGTCTCACCTGTCTGTACCTGGTCTCACCTGTGCAGCTGATCGGGATCCAGGACGGGTACCTGTCGCTGCTCCAGGACAGTGGGGAGGTGAGGGAGGACCTGCGGCTGCCGGAGGGGGAGCTGGGCCGGGAGATCGAGCAGAAATACGACTGTGGAGAGGAGATCCTGGTACTGGGGGCACTGGGGGGGGGTGATGAGGGCACTGGGAGGGACTGGGAGGGGTTGTGGGGGTACTGAGAGGG